TAGGTCTAGTGGAAAAAAGCACTAAGCTGCAAGTCAAGGCTCTGCAATTAATTAAGGGAGCTAGAACATACTATTAAACTTCTGCTGTGTATCATGTTCTCATGTAAGTCTGGGATAATACCTCACTCATAAGACTGGCTACAAGCATGAGCAAGTACTTGGGATATTGAAAAATGCCACACAAATGCACTAAGAAATTATTATGACAAAGGTTCTTTCTTATTCCAATTCCTTAAACCAAACCAAACCCACTGGCTTTGAGTCAATTCCAAGTCCTAGAGATGCTATAGGACAGAGTAGAATTGCTCCCTAGGGCTTCTGGGATCTTTACGGAAGCAGAATGCCACATCTTTCTTCTGTGGAGTGGCTGGTGGGTTCAAGCAGCCAACCTTCTGGTTGGCAGCTGAGTGCTTTAACCACTGTGCCACTAGGGCTCCTTCCAGTTCCCTAAGGAACCATTAAGTTGATATGTAATATAATAGTTAAGAGCTTGGGCTCCAGAGTCAAATACAGATTCAAATCCCAGCTTTGGCTACTCTTTAGTTTCATCATAGAGATAACAATAATAGTAATAATAGCAGCTACTGCCTAACATCATGTATGTAGTACCTTAATAGATGAGAAGAATTTAAAACAGTAATTAGCACATAGTGAGCTCTGTGTTAGTTTTAGCTATTATTTTTATTATCATAATTATTAATTAAAATAGCAACATTTGAGATGTTTACTGAGCAGTTACTACGTGCTAGACATTGTTTTAAGCATTTTACATGAATTCATTCATTTAATCCTCACAATAATCCTATTCAGAAGTACTATTATTACTCCTATTATTACTGCTATTATTCCTATTTTACAGATAAAAAAATTAAGCTACAGAGAAATTCTGACTTGTGCTTAAGGTCACTTAACCAGTAAGTGGTAAAGACAGGATGCAAACTAGGAGTCTGAGACTAAAGACCACACATTTAAACAATACGCTCTAATGCCTTCAAAATAATGAGTTTTTTTAAAATCAACTTTTAGATAGAAACATTGACTGTATTAAAAAAAAAAAATGCAAAGTGCTTAGCATAGCGCCTAGCGGAGAGTAAATGTTACTTGTTATTACTATTATCATTTTTAAAAATTCATGTATCTATTAATGTTCCCTGAAAAGAAGCAAAAGAAAATTTCTAAAATTTAAGTCCAACAAGAAAAATCTAATGAAACTCTTAAAACAATAAATTAAAAAAAAAAAAAAATCCCAGTACGTTTCATGAATCATAAGGTAGAGGATAAGCCAATTATATGACTATTTTGGGGATATATTTTACTTCTCTTTATGTGTGCAAACCCATTTGGTTGTTGCAATTAATGACTAACCAAGTCGATAAAGAAAAAAGTCATCAAATGACCAAATTAAAGGTGTTTTTTGGACTACAGTTAAATAATAAACTGAATGGTATACTTTGTTTATCTTTACTTGAACTAAGCTCATAAGAGCCTGATGTTCAGCAACAGTATTCTTTAGAAATATTTATAGAGGAACTGTTTAGTATAACACGAAGAAATGAGAAGTTAGTGTAAGGGTACAATGTAGAAACTTTCCTAGAAGTTCAATTTACTTTTTCTGAAAGCTCACTTCTCTTTTAAAGTAAACTTACAGAAACTGTGTAAATCTGAATATGCAGAAGTGACAAGAAGAGGTGATATTTATTAAAATCCATCAGGTTTTAAGTTCATCAGCAGGTCAAGCATGAAGGATGCTTAAGATAAAAACCCATTGAGTTCATCAGTCAGATTATAGTAAACACTCTTACTTACCCCATGGCCAACTGCAACCCGCTCCAAAGCCTTTAAAAAGAAGAATCAAGACAAAGACTGCTGATACATTTAGTCTTATCTTACAAGATTTATAAACATACTATATAAAGGCTTGTGAAAATGACATTTAAAAAGATTAATTAAGTGATAACACATAAGTTTATACACTTAAAAGTGCTAATATCATTAAGGAATGTTAACTGGTACGCTTGTATAATGTCGGGCTGATTTATAATAGATGAATGTCTTAAACACAAACACATATACACTACAATTATATATGCTTCTTAAATTTTAAAAGGAATTTGAAAAAGAGAAAGAAATGAAATAACATATCCTTGGCTCAGTTTTAGTGTAGTTAAAATAATCAAATGAATCCAAAGCTATTATTGTGTGTGTGTGTGTGTGTGTGTGTGTACATATATAGACATATTTATATACTACTTTTTAACATTTTTTTTTCAGTTTTTTATGAACATATCATTTCAACTTTTATTAAGCAAATGAACACATTGGCTGAAAGCTTAGCTTAGAAAATTACATATATATTAAATTGTATGATCAAGTAACAGGTAGAAGAGAAAGTAATAAGTATTTTTTATAATTCCATATGTAGCTGGATTTTACATTTACCTTTATTTAGGATCCAAAACATTTTTTTTTTTTTTTTTTGGCAAATTGTTTCCTAATATTTCTAGTCCCCCACACGTCTGTCAATTTGTCATACTGTGGGTGCTTGTGTGTTGCTGTGATGCTGGAATACCACCAGTATGCAAATACTAGCAGGGTCAACTATGGTGGACAGGTTTCAGCTGAGCTTCCAGACTAAGACACACTAGGAAGATGAATGTGGTGGTCTATTTCTAAAAAAAATTTGGCCAGTGAAAACCTTATGAATAGCAATGGAACACTGTCTGATAATAGCGCCGGAAGACGAGCCTTTCAGGTTGAAAGGCACTCAAAACACGACTGGAAAAGAGCTGCCTCCTCAAAGTAGAGTCAACCTTAATGATGCGGATGGAGTCAAGCTTTTCGGACCTTCATTTGCTGATGTGGCATGACTCAAAATGAGAAGAAACAGCTGCAAATATCCATTAATAATTAGAATGTGGAATGTACGAAGTGTGAATCTAGGAAAATTGGAAGTCATAAAAAATGAAATGGAACGCATAAACATCAATATCCTAAGCATTAGCGAGCTAAATGGACTCTATTGGCCATTTTGAATTGGACAATCATATGGTCTACCATGCTGTGAACGACAAACTGAAGAGGAATGGCACTGCATCATTGTCAAAAAGAACATTTAAAGATCCATCCTAAAGTACAACGCTGTAAGTGACAGGATAATATCCATATGCCTACAAGGAAGACCAGTGAATATGACTATTATTCAAATTTACGCACCAACCACTAAGGTGAAAGATGAAGAAACTGAGGATTTTTACCAACTTTTGCAGTCTGAAATTGATCAAACATGCAATCAGGATGCATTGATAATTGCTGGTAATTGGAATGTGAAAGTTGGAAATGAAGAAGAAGGATCGATAGTTGGAAAATATGGCCTTGACGAGAGAAATCATGCCGGAGATCACATGACAGAGTTTTGCAAGACCAACAACTTCCTCATTGCAAATACCTTTTTTCAACAACATAACCAGCAACTGTACATGTGGACCATGCCTGATGAAATACACAGGAATCAAATTGACTACATCTGTGGAAAGAGACAATGGAAAAGCTAAATATCATCAGTCAGAACAAGGCCAGTGGCCTACTGCAGAACAGACCATCAATTACTCATATGCAAGTTCAAGTTGAAGTTGAAGAAAATTAGAACAAGTCCACAAAAGCCAAAGTACACCCTTGAGTATATCCTACCTGAATTTAGAGACCATCTCAAGAAAGATCTGACACAATGAACACTAATGACTGAAGACCAGATGAGTTGTGGAATGACATCAAGGACATCATACATGAAGAAAGCTAAAACTCATTAAAAAGACAGGAAAGAAAGAAAAGGACCAAAGTGGATGTCAGAAGAGACTCTGAAACTTGCTCTTGACCGTCGAGTAGCTAAAGCGAATGTAAGAAATGATGGAGCTGAACAGAAGATTTCAAAGGGCAGCTCGAGAAGATAAACTATTATAATGACATGTGCAAAGACCTGGAGTTAGAAAACCAAAAGTTAAGAACATGATTGGCATTTCTCAAGCTGAAAGAACTGAAGAAAAAATTCAAGCCTCGAGTTGCAATAAGGAAGGACTCTATGAGTAAAATACTGAATGATGCAGGAAGCATCAAAAGAAGATAGAAAGAATACACAGAGTCACTATACCAGAAACAACTGGTCAATGTTCAGTGATTTCAGGAGGTAGCAAAGGATCAAGAACCGATAGTACTGAAGGAAGAAGTCCAAACTGCACTGAAGACACTGGCAAAAAACAAGCCTCCAGGAATTGACGGAATACCAATTGAGATATTTCAACAAATGGATACAGCACTGGAAGTGCTCACTCGTCTATACCAAGAAACTTGGAAGACAGCTACCTGGCTAACTGACTGGAAGAGATTCATATTTATGCCTGTTCCAAAAAGGTGATCCAACCGAATGCAGAAATTATTGAACAATATCATTAACATGACACGCAAGTAAAATTTTGCTGACAGTCATTCAAAAGTGGTTGCAGCAGTACATCAACAGGGAACTGCCAGAAATTCAAGCCAGATTCAGAAGAGGACGTGGAACTAGGGATGTTATTGCTGATGTTAGATGGATCATGGCTGAATGCAGAGAATATCAGCAAGATGTTTACCCGTATTTTATTGACTATGCAAAGGCAAGTGATTGTGTGGATCATAACAAATTATGGCTAACATTGCAAAGAATGGGAATTCCAGAACACTTAATTGTGCTCACAAGGAACCTGTACATAATCAAGAAGCAGTCGTTTGAACAGAACAAGGGGATACTGGTTTAAAGTCAGGAAAGGTGTGGGTCAGGGTTTATACTTTCACCATACTTATTCAATCTGTATGCTGAGCAAATAATCCCAGAACAATAACATTTCTAGTAAATACTCGTAATTCCACATTTATGACAGATTTTTCATTATTTTAATATGGAATACTGTCTTCCGAACTTTTATTTTTTAGAGACATATATTTCCATATTTATACAGCTTTATAGGAAGCCGTGGTGGTACAGTGGTTAAACACTCAGCTACTAACTAAAAGGTCGGTGGTTTGAACCCACCAGATGTTCTGCAGGAGAAAGATGTGGCTTCTGCTTCCATAAAGATTCCAAAATAAAACCCAAATGCACTGCCGTCGAATTGATTTTGACTCAGAGTGATCCTATAGGACAGAGCAGAACTGCCCCATAGGGTTTCCAAGGTTTTAAATCTTTAGGGAAGCTGGCTGCCCCATCTTTCTCCCACGGACAGGCTGGTGGATTCAAACCGCTGACCTTTTGGTTAGCAGCTGAGTGCTTTAACTACTGCACCACCAGGGCTCCTATCCGTAAAGATTTCAAAAAAAACAAACCAAACTCATTGCCACTGAGTCGATTGTGACTCAGAGACCGTACAGGACAGAGTAGAACTGTCCCACAGAATTTCCAAGGATGGAGACCTAGTTGCGCAGTGGTTAAGAGCTCAGCTGCTAACCAAAAGGTCAGCGTCTTGAATCTGTCAGCTGCTCCTTGGAAACACTGTTTTTTTTTTTGTTTGTTTGTTTGTTATTATTTCTGTTCTTTGGTTTATACAGCTTTATAATTAAATCAGATTAGAAATTTTGAAATAAATTTTATTTTTAAATTTTTAATCAGGAAATTTTTCAAACATACAGAAAAGTAGTAAAAATATACTGGGTCTGCATATACATGCTACTCAAATTTAAAATATCCACATTTGCTTCAGTGTTCTTCATCTCCATAAACAAAACTGTTTAGATACAGCTTAATCATGTACTTTTAAAATGCAAAGATAATTTACAGATTATGTTGTGTAAGTGCAATTTTTGTAGATGCACAAGGTCACTGACGAGGTAACAGTAGCTTGATTCAAGCCATATAGCTAGCACAGGAACTAAAAAACTTGCTCTTTGAATCCTGGTTTATTTCTCATGCCTCATACCATATATGTTGTTACTGCATGCCGTCGAGTTGATTTTGACTTGTATATTGAGTGGGGAAAGGAGTTCATCATATGAAAATTTGCTTCACAGAATTTTTTTGAGGAAAAAATTAATTTTTTCATTTATTTGAACATCTAGAGTCAGCGTGCTATGAATACAGAAGAAAATTATTATGTAATTTTACATTAAACAGTAATGGGTCTAGAGCAGATTTATCATTGGAGATAACAATGAATTTTTATTTATAGCATTGGTTATGCTAGCTACAGATTAATTTTTGTTAGGGCATTTGCTAAAGAGCTGAATTGAATACAAAAACAAAAGAGTTTTTAACAATAAATTATTTGGTATCAATAAAAATATGACTGCCTTTGGTAAGTGCTGCTGATGAGCTTACTTTCAGAAATACAAATGATAAATTTTGAATGCATAGTAAAAGATAATCAGGTTGGTGATAAGAAGTTTCTTACAAACATCAGTATTGTTCTCGGACAATAAGCAAAGATAATGAAGAAAATATACCAAGTGTTCATTTCACTCACACTAATCTGAAATTTTTTTTTGCATTTTATTTAGCTTAAAGTATGCTGAACAGACTGTATTCATTTTAATAATATTTCATTTCTAGTTAGTTCCCTTAATAATCCATGTTAAAACAACACCAGAAAGGTATTTAATTATTTAATTCTTACGCTTTAAATATTTGCAGAAAAGGTTAGTTGTGGAGCAAAAGACAATAAAGCAAAATGCACCAAAAGAAATGTTCCTTAGACTTTCCGAGATCACTATAAACCCATTGCCGCTGAGTCGATTCCAACCCATAGTGACCCTACAGGACAGGGCAGAACTGCCCCATAAGGTTTCCAAGGCTGTAAATCTTTAGGGAAGCAGACTGCCACATCCTTCTCTCACGGAGCAGTTGCTGTGTTTCACCCACTGACCTTCGGGTTAGCAGCTGAGGGCTTTTAACCAGTGTGACACCAGGGTTCCTTAAGATCACTATAGCATCCAAAAAAAGAAGTCAAGGTGAGCAGGGGTTGGGATAGAACAAAAAGGGCATTCCATGGAAAGCCGACAGTGGTAAGGAAAAATTCTAAAGTACAGTATGGTCTGCAAATTCTCTATTTGTGGAATTTACTTCTCAAAACCTCTTCTTTTTGGTACTTTAAATGTTTGTTTTTATAGCAAACATTCCTATTTCATGGTGCAATATATTCTTTTATCTTTCTTAGGGATATTAATAGGTGGCTATGAGTTGGAATCGACTTGATGGCAATGGGTTTGGTCTTTTTGGTTTTATGTTATTTTATATCATTTTGGATAGTCTCCATTTCCTCCAAGTTTCTTTGTTTTTCCTATTTATTTAATCTCTATCTTTCATGTTAGACTTTCCTCAGACATTTAGTGATGGCTGTTTGTTGAGATTTAAAATGAGGGTACCATAAACCTAATTAGATGCAATGTGCTTATGAATGAGGACTATTAATTATGTGCCTCACTCCAGAGAGAAAAGTCTGTTCTGTGTCATTCTGAAATCCCTGATGCCAATATCTTTAGGTCTTTTCTCTTAAGCTAGTCAGAGTCTACAAAAGACTATTCAATCTTTGCCTGAGGGTATAAGTCTGGCTGCCAGTATCCCAGGAACCAAGTCATTCCAATAATGGCTTGTCTGTCATTCAACAAGACAATCAACAGGTATCATTTACAGATAAAATGAAAGAACAATAAATATTCCCAGAAAACTATTCTAAGTGGGCCTACATAAGGAAATCATTATTTGAGCATAAACAGATTTCTAAGATAATTCTAGGATCCATAAACCAGAACACTGGTGTACTTTTTTTTACATTGCTATGCTACTGGCATAGAAATAATGGCCCTAGAAGAATTAATCTACCTGTGGTTGGACATTAAACATATTATTTAATCAACTATATTTTGTTTCTGATGACAAGGGCGATTTACACTATTTAACTTACACCTGTCCCTTTGTGAACCAACATAGCACCATGAACAGAGAACACGATAGGCCGCGATCTAGGTCTAAAGACACTATAGCAAAATCAGGCACAACAGAGGTTTTATTAACTGGATAGTTATCTAGTATCCCAGGCAACATAAGAGAACTTTTCCCATTCCAGAAAAAAATCGGGTGACCAAACGATCTGCTACAAACACATACCACAGAGCTGTGGGTAAAGTATTGAACTATTTCTGTATTTAAGACTTGGTAGTTTGTACATTTTATATAATGATAAAGGAAATGTTTGCTGTGTATAAGTATAAATTGTTACTGCACTGCATGTGGAATAGGTAATGTTGGAAGGGCAAGTCACTTTTCTTTAAATTTTTGTAATGCACAAAAGAATTAATGACGATGATGTGTAAAATTTCGCATTTAATACATGAAATTAGCCAAAAATAATAAATTCTGCAACATCTGGATAAAGTTTTTAGTTCAGGAAAAAAAAATTTAACCATACCAAACATGCTGACATTCTGGCATTACGACCACAGCACCATCTCTCTTCCTTTAGATAGTGGCACATTGGAAATCCCCACTTTTCTTGAGTACATTCTGCAGATGGGGAAAAAATATGGATTATTTAAATACAATTTTTCCTGTTTCAGTTAAGGTAAATAATCTATTGAGAAAGAAAATTAGTCATTGAGAGAGTCAAACAGTAGTTAAACATGGGAGTGGTGATGTTCAACAGTTCATTCCAGTCTGTTAACTGAAAATATTTTAATATTATGAAGATGGTATTTGCTCAACAACAGTTGTTTTGTGTTTAAGCTTCAAGTCTGATACCAACCAATTTGCCAAAAGCATTTCTCCACAATTTACAAAAACAATTTAAAATGAAAATATTCTTCATGTTCAGTGTAACCATAGGTGACAAGTACAAAATACTGAAATTTTATTGCTGACCTTTCTAAAAAGACTTTAAAAATGGCATTTGGCAATTAAAGATAGAATAATACTAATCATTCCTAACAATGTTGAAGGATTAAGTTTTATTTGTTCCCACTATGTTCAGAAAAAGAACAGCTACACATACTCTTATTTTTTCATTATATTAAGAGGCTATAATATTGTAAACTGTGATTCAATTTGGCTTAATTGCATTTATGATTCAAGTAGCAACAACAAAAAATCAACATTCATTACTTAATCACATACCCACTGCCCAACTCATTTACAGAGTTACATATGCAACTTGTTAATGCTCAAGCCACTTATGTAGAACTACTAATTACGCAAGGTGTTCAAAAGGAAAACAAAACAAATTTCCACTCCAAATTAAAGCCGGAAAAATAAGAGCTTAAGTTTTATCAAAACTATTACAAGAAAGTTGAGGCAAATATAACTTTTCTATTAGATTAAAAAGTAAAATAGGAAACTAAAAACTTGAAAGAAACAAGAAAACTCTTTAAAAGAAAATGTTGTTGAGGTAGATTCTGCTAAATATACTTCAAAACTATGACGGAGTAGGTGACTTTTTATTAAAATAGAAAAAGTTTAAATTTTGTACAGACAAAAAGGCTGTGAAAGAGGTTTCTTTCAGGTATTAATTTCATATTTATAATAGACATTTAAACTATTTTGGGGGAAGATTAAAGACCCCACTGATAATCAGAAGGAAGATATGGACTGTCCCCCTTGTAATATTAAAAACAACAGTGCTTGTACATATACAGAACTTAATATGTGTGAGGCACTATTAAAAGTACTTTATACGTATTATTTGGAACCCTGGTAGCAAAGTAGTTAAGAGCTCAGCTGCTAACCAAAAGGTCAGCAGTTTGAATCCACCAGTCACTCCTTGTAAATCCTATGGGGCAGTTCTATTCTGTCCCAGAGGGTCACTATGAGTCGAAATCGACTCAACAGCAACAGGTTTGAGGGTTTTTTTTGTTGTTGTTTGTTTATATGTATTAATTAGCTTTAGTTCCCACAGAAATCCTGTTAAATTGATGTGCTATTTTAATACTCGTGCGTCAGATAGGGAAACTACGGTACATTGTTGTTGTTGTGTGCCGTTGAGTCGGTTCCTACTCAGTGACCTTAAACTGACAGAGCAGAATCACCCCATAGGGTTTCCTAGGCTGTAATATTTATGGGAGCAGATCACCAGGTCTTTTGTCCCGCAGAGCTGCTGGTGGGTTTGAACTGCCCACCTTCCGGTTAGCAGCCGAGCACTTAACCATTGTGCCACCAGGGCTCCTTAACTGGGGTACAGCCAGGTTAAATAAATTTCCTAAGGTTGCAGGTCTAGTACATGGCAGAGCTGGAATTTAAATCCAGGAAGCCTGACTCCAGAGTCCAAGCTCTTAACCATCACGCTATATAGATGCACATACACAAAGAATTTTACTTACAATTGCATAGGACTCATAAAGCTCTTGAAGCCTATCCAGGTTTCTAGGGATGCTATGTTACTTCTCCAATTTTCAAGATGACTTGAAACAGTTTAGTTTGAATTTTATTGAGTAGCAAACTGAAGACTGTAAGATTTAACTGAGACATGATTATTGCTAAATGGAAAGATTACTATATTAACTTTTTTTCTTAAAGCTAAAAAAATATTTACATCTTACTATGAAGAGTAAGGAGCCCTGGTGGTGTAGTGGTTAAGAGTTCGGCTGCTAATCAAAGGGTTGGCAGTTAGAATCCACCAGCTGCTCCTTGGAAACCCTATGGGGCAGTTCTACTCTGTCCTATAGGGTTTCTATGAGTTGGAATGGACTCAACAGCAATGTGTATGAAGAGTAAGGTGCTAGAGAGATGGGGGTGTGCTATTTTATTCAGAATGGTTATGAAAAGTGTAACCACTAAAACAGTTTTTCCCCAAAATCCATTCTCCTCGTTCCATGTAGCAGCAAAGCCCTCAATTTTTAGCCCGACATTCAGCTACTCAGATTAAAGACTGCAATTCTCAGACTCCATTCCAGCTACTAGATTATGAAACTAGCTGTGGTCGGAAACGATGTGTGCAAACTCCAGGCCATTTGCTAAAAGGGAGGGAGGTGTGTTCTTTCTCCACATCTCCAATCTCTTACTTCATCCTTCCTCTGTCTGGAATGTGATCATGGTGGCAAGTCAACTAGGGCCATGTAAACAAGAGCAGCAGAGGATGAAGCAACAAAATACAAGCATCCTGGGTTCCTGGAAGACTTAGTGGTATAGAGCAACCATACGAACTCTGATCACCTACCTCTGAATTGCAACAGAAATATCCCTCTGTTTTGTTTAAGCCACTGTTATTTAGGGTCTGGAGTCTATTTTGCATCTATATCTTTTTCTTAGTGCTTCCCAAGCTTTTTATAGCACAGAACTCTCAGAATATGGTGACATTTGTACATCACTCTAAGATAAATAGATGATTGTGGTTAGAGGCAAAATGCAGGGGATGAAGGGATCAATAACTCAGGTACCTACTCAGCCATAAAGAGAAATAACATGGATGAACCCTGAAGACATGCTGAGTAAATAAGTCAATCACAAAAAGACAAATATTGTATGGTCTCATATATATGAAATGACAAGAATAGTCAAATGTACAGAGACCAAATTTATTAGCTGTTACCAGAGGTGGGAGGAGGGGGGAGAGGTAGCCATTGTTTGGGAAGTAGTGAGTTTCTGTTTATGATAAAGATTAATTAAATTGATATCACTAAGCTGTACACCCAAAAAAAGGTGAATTGCAAATGTTGTATTATATATATTTCTACAAAAAAAAAAAAAAAAGCAGCTGCTGATATTGACTATATACAACCAAACGCCTTGTAGGATTTGTTTTCTTGGTTCAGAGGTTTAGGGTCATGGATTCATGGAATGTTCCAGTCAACTGTTCTAATACTTATTTTAGTGCTTCTGTTTCTCCTAGTTTATTGTATAGTGCCTGGGATCTTAAAAGTTTGTAAGTGGCCACCCAAGGTACAATAATTGGTCTCTATTTAACTGTGGCGGCAAAGGAAGGAGGGTCAGGAATCAGAGGAGGAATTGGAATGTGTGTCTAATCACCTCCATGAACAACTAACTGTCTCCTTTGCCATGAGACGAGACTGGATGGCAGCCAGCTACCATTACTGAATGTTTTGATCGAAGATTCTATAGAGGAATCCTGATCAAAAGAGGGAAAACATGGAACAGAATTTCAAATTCGCATGGAATCTAGACTTTCTGGAGCTATTGAAGCTGTATGATCCCTAAAACTATTGCCCTGAGGAAATCTTTAAACTTTAAGCCTCAAACCAAAGCTATCCCCTGAAGTCATCTTTAAACCAAAAAATAGTTTCACTTAATTAAAAAAGAATGTCTGCCTTGAGCATTGTGCTTTTTTAAAGAATTATCTATATGTGATCAAACTGACAATGGCAACTCAAAAAGTTAGACGAAAAGCTTAGGAGGGCAGTGTTTGTGTTAATGATGGTGAAAAAATTTGGAAAAAGATATCAAGAAAGGTGGCACAACTTGAAGAATGTAACCAGTCACTAAACTGTACATGTAGAAACTATTAAATTGACGTATGTTTTGTTGTGTATATTTTCACCAAAATTAAAACAAACACCTCAGGAACACCCATTAAGCATCCATGACACACTAGTTGAATAGCTCTGTCCTAATTAATACAGAAGTCTTTGAGAATATGATATTTGAGCAGAAAATTAAATCAAATGAGGGAGCAAGCCATGAGAATATTAGGGGAAGACTTTAAACACCCCCCCCACACACACATCCACACACACACACCCCGACACACACACACCCACACCCAACAAAACCTAAGTTTCCAACAGGACATAATTAATCTCCAAAAATATAATTCCAGAATATCTTCCAACTTAAAAGGATATTTGACTAGCAGATGATTTCCCAACCTTTTCTATTATCCCAACCAAAAGTCAAAAACAAACAAACAAACCCGTAACACTGGAAAAAAGGAGATTAAAGTCAATTTACTGAATAACATGGAAAGCATCCCTATTCTTTGAATGGGTTTGTAAATGAAAGATATAATCAGTGGATCATTATTGCTCTGTAATTCACCTTATGATGCCAGGAAAATGCAGGTCTAATGGCCTGAATATTGGTAGAAAGATTCTCCCCCAGTGATATTCTGAAGAAAAATCTGACTGGAAAAAATTAGCACTTATATTTAATTGAAAGGCTTACAGTAGTTCAGGAAAATGCATTGCATTGGAAGGGGTACATTATTTCCAGAAAAAAAGACTCAAATAGAAGCTCACAGCCAAGTTACTCCAAATTCTTAACTGAAAGAAACTATGAAAGATAATAAGTAATCATTGTAGTTTTAAGCCATTAAGTTTTGGAGTGATTTCTTGCACAGCATTAGATAGCATTAGATAACTAATAGAATCTAGAAGTAGCAATGAGGAGTTAAGGAGGCTACTTACTCCACATGAAGGATGTGCGGCAGAAAAATCTACCACCTGAGGGTCATGGGAAAGAGCTAGGTTTTAATTAGACAAGAAAATAAAGGGAGCTTTCAGAGAAGAGGTTGCAGATATAGGCAATTTTGTTAATGACTGTGAATTCTAGAGGATGTAGTA